ATTTAATTTTTTTTTATTTTATAAAATAATAAATAAATAATTCTTTTTAATTAAAAAAATAGACGTGCACATAATTTATGCAACGTGACACTCCCGATTGAATTTTCAACACTGTTACAATTAATTGTTTCTACACTCACCTGCCAAAAGTATCCGGATACTTTTGGCAGGTGAGTGTATAAATAATTTAAACCAATGATAAATTAGTGGCCACATGAATTGTACTTTTTACATACAATGATATAAATAATTTATAAAAATATAAGTTAAAGAATTGTCAGAGCACTTGCATGGGAGGAAAATGTTTGGACCAAAGCCATTTGTAAGTATTGCCTATTCTTTGGGCACTCTGGCAAAAATCTAACTTTCACTATTACTACTATTTTTATTATTATCAATAATGTTATTATTAATATTTGTATTTTCTTCATTTTCATTATCTTCATCAACTTCACTCTCAACTTCTTTCTTCTTTTGTTTATTGACCCATTCCTGAATTGCTTCTATCATTTTCCTTCTAGGATTTGTTTTTCATTGACGGAAGTTTTTTATTGTGGAAGTAGCAACACCTTTTCCTTCTCCAAGTAATTCATGACAAATTTAAATGGCCATTTCACTATTTATTGATTATTTTTTTAATTGTGTTTAACAATTATTAAAGAATTTGTTATATTTGATTTTTTTTATCTGGATAATAAGTGATCTGATGATGTTTTTATAATGATCCAACATAAGGCAGGATTGTTTACCTTGTTTCAATACCAATCAGAGAAAAACAAAGTTTCATAGACATACTCTTGAATGTAAAATTTGTTAAAACAACTCAAACAATGTTTTTTTATTGATAAGCAATGCAATGTGATGATTGTTAATTACATTTGCATAAAGGAGAATTTCTTTGTCAAAAAAAATAGATCTGCAATAATCAGATTCATTGCATTTTATTTTCCTTCTTTCAAAGATTTCTGCTTTTTGTTAGGTAATAATGCATCATCATGATGCTTTCTTTTTCTAACATTTATTATTTTTCTTTCTTCTTGGTAAATTTCATAAATAATCTTTTCTTTCCTTAGATAAACTTCCAGTGTCTGAGTATCATTTATTTTGAAAATGTAAGGAGCGATTTTTTCACCTTGCTCTTTCTTCAAAATACTTCTGTTTGTACTATAATTCTTGGGTTCCATGGTAGATTGGATGTAAATGAGTTTCATATTAACTATTTTTATATAGGGTAATTCTATATATCATTTAAGGTAACAAATGGGATATTATAAAACTGTTAATTATATAATCACATTACAAATGACTAAATTTTGAACCCTGAAATCTTTGGTAATACCAATGTTCACTTGCCTTGTTTTGTTGCAGCATGCCCCCATTTCTTTTTCTAGTGTGAGATCAAAATCCCACCCAATCCAAGGATCTACATTCTCAAAACATGAGGTTCAACCTTTAACAGGGGTGTCTGGTGGTTTGGTAATTATGTGCAACCCCAATTTTTAATTAGTAGATTTGGTGATGGTTTACTAACAGGAGGGAACGTACTGGGAACACAAAATTAACAGGAGGGAACACAAAAATTTAACCCATGCAATTTTGTGATTG